CTCTCTCTCTCTCTCTCTCTCTCTCTCTCTCTCTCTCTCTCTCTCTCTCTCTCTCTCTCCTCTCTCTCTCTCTCTCTCTCTCTCTCTCTCTCTCTCTCTCTCTCTCTCTCTCTCTCTCTCTCTCTCTCTCTTCTCTCTCTCTCTCTCTCTCTCTCTCTCTTCTCTCTCATCTCTCTCTCTCTCTCTCTCTCTCTTCTCTCTCTCTCTCTCTCTCTCTCTCTCTCTCTCTCTCTCTCTCTCTCTCTCTCTCTTTTCTCTCTCTCTCTCTCTCTCTCTCTCTCTCTCTCTCTCTCTCTCTCTCTCTCCTCTCTCCCCTCTCTCTCCTCTCTCTCCTCTCTCTCCTCTCTCTCCTCTCTCTCTCTCTCTCTCCTCTCTCTCTCTCTCTCTCTCTCTCTCTCCTCCTCTCTCTCTCTCTCTCTCTCTCTCTCTCTCTCTCTCTCTCTCTCTCTCTCTCTCTCTCTCTCTCTCTCTCTCTCTCTCTCTCTCTCTCTCTCTCTCTCTCTCTCTCTCTCTCTCTCTCTCTCTCTCTCTCTCTCTCTCTCTCTCTCTCTCTCTCTCTCTCTCTCTCTCTCTCTCTCTCTCTCTCTCTCTCTCTCTCTCTCTCTGGAGTGTAGGACCAAGGAGAAGCGACACCAACGCCACCAGGGACCGCCAGCGCGAGGAGCCAGGGGTGGCGCTCCTGGCGGTGTGACCCCCCCCCTCGCTCGAGACGCCCCCATAGCCCCCAGGTCGGGGAGGCATCGTGAACCTCCTCGCTGGAGGTGGCTCCCCTGGTGGTGTTGGGGTCGCCCAGAATCGATTCGATAAGTCGGGTCTTCAATCGAAAGGAAATCGTCACCTCTCCCAGTGTCTAGGATCGTCGCAGGAGCGTTTTTTCTGAAACTTTTTTGTTTCGCTGGGGTCGGGGCTTCCGCTGACGCCGGGGGCAGTTTGCGCGACTCGCAACATAGCAGCGCCATTCGGCGCGCGCGGGGGCGCACGCGGGCACTCAGAAGCGCGCGGCTACTGGGAGAGACGCCCGCAAGCGGCCATGCGAGACCACGGGCGCTCGCAGGCACGCGGGGCCACTGGCAAGCGCCCCCGCGTGTTCACATCTTCCCAAAAAGGTTGGCGAGACTTTCCACGCGTGCCCACGAGCATCCGCAACTGATCACGAAGCGCCCGCGGGCGGTCGCAGTCGCGGGCACGCGCCCAAAGGCGGCCGCACAAGCGCAGAAACGCCCGCCGAAACCTTCCCCGTATGCACTGCTCCGCAGGCACTCGGAGGCCTCCGCCCAACGTCGCGACCAGGGGGCCGCGTAGTGAGTCGGGCGAATGTTTCTCAGCCTTGCCGGTCGCCCTCGGCACCCCTGCGCGCGTTGGCAAAGGGCGCTTTCTACAGACAGCTTCCGGAGGCCCATCGACCCCCAGCGCATATTGAACTGCTGATGAGGGGGCCTGCGCGTGTTCCAGCATTTACAAGAACGTTATGTCGCAGAGGGGGGCCTTGGCCACAGACGGCCAAAAATATATGCTTGGGCCTGTGAGTTAACATATTATGCATGGGCAATTTAAAAAGGCATTACACATACGCCAGTATAGAAACATATACATGTATGGGCGGGCGTACATAACGATATGCACGGACCAGTGTAGCACGACAACTGTGTACAGGTGTATCCAGAATGTGGCGACATTTTCCCAGCCGCCCATGTACGCAGAGGGCCTCAATCGGGCATTACCTTTTGGATGAACACTGCCTCGCGGGATTCTCGCGTGGTTTTGCTAGGCTCTCACTGGTCTCATGGGGTTCGCTCGTCGGGCTCTCACGTGTCTCGCGGGGTTCGCTCGTCGGGCTCGACGGGCTCTCACGGCCTCGGAGGGCTACAACAAGATCCCCAAAGGGCCCCAAAAGGGTTCCAGATGGCCCCAAGAAGCGCAAATCAGGACCCGAACAGGGCCATATGAGGGTCCCAAGAGGTCCCCAGAGATGTGTCACGGCCGTGAAACATCCCCGGGGTCCTCTCGGGGCCCTCTTGGCCCCCCCATGGGGGCCTCCTTGGGCCCTTCAAACACGGCGGCAGAGGCCTCAGGAAGAGTCAAGGGAAGGCTGCAAGAGGGCCTCAAGAGGCTCCCAAAAAGGCCCACGGGATTATGTACCACAAGGGGATCGGTTGGTAGATTTTCCTGGGCCCCTCTTGGAGACATCTGCGGTGCTCTTGGGGGCCATCTGGGGGCCCCAGGGAGCCTTGCGGGGCCCCTTTTTCCAGCCCTCCGAGGCCGTCTTCCCTCCTGCCTCCTCCTACTTTATTTTGCTTCCTCCTGCAGCCCCCATCCTCTGCATCCTCCTCCTGCCTCCTCCTCCCCCCCCTGCTCCTCCTCCTCCTCCTCGCCCTCCTTTATCCTCTCTTGCACCTGCATATTTTTATTCCTCATCCTCTGCCTCCCTCCTCCTCTTCCTCCTCCTCTTCCTCCTCCTGCCCCCTCCTGCTCCTCCGGCTCCTCAGGGCAACAGGGGCCCCGGAGCATTCACAGGGCCGTTGGGGTCCGCACTGCGCTCCCCACTGCACTCCCCACTGCACTCCCCACTAGCGCCCCACTAGCGACTGTCACAGGGTTCGTGGCCATGCCGATCCGGCTTAAAGTCGAATGCCACAGTCGAGTGCGAAGTCCCGCTTAAGATTTCTCGTGGGTTCGTTGGTGGGCTCGCTAGTGGGCCCCTTAGTGGGCCCCTTAATGGGCTCGTTAGTGGGCTCGTTAGTGGGTCGTTAGTGGGCCCCTTAGTGGGCTCGTTAGTGGGTCCCTTAGTCGGCTCGTTAGTGGGTCCCTTAGTGGGCTCGTTAGCGGGCTCGTTAGTGGGTCCCTTAGCGGGGGCGTTCGGGGGTCCGCTCCTGGGCCGTTCGTGGGCGGCCTCCTGGAAGAGCCTCGTTGTTGCCTGGTGGGCTTCTTGATGCGAGCCCTGAGTGACTTCGCCCAAGAGAGTCCGACAATTTTCAAGACCCACCGATGAGAGCCCAACGAAGACTTCGAGAGTCCGACGGAACCCGACGGAGCCGGAAGGAGCCATACGGAGCCCGACGGAACCCGACACAGCTCGAAAGGGAAAGGAAACGGCGACAGGATGAGCCCGACGAAGCCTGACAGAGCCCGACTAGAGGAAGGAAGAGGACAAGGAAAGGAGGAGGGAGGATGACAAGGGGAAAGGAGGAGCCCGACGGAGCCCAATCGAGCCCGCAAGAGCCCCACGAGAGCCTCGCGAGAACCCCTGGGGGAACCCGGCGAGAGCCCCACGTGAGCCCCAGGAGACCCCGAGCGAACCGAGGAACGCCCGGCGAAATCTTCGCGGGGAACCCCATAAGAGCCCCGCAGGACCCCCGCGAGAGCCCGACAAGCGAGCCCCACGAGACCCGTGGGAGCCCAACAAAGCCCCCCGAAAACCCCGCGAGGCAATGCCAGTCCCAAAGACAGTGCTCGAGAGAGGCAGGCCGCGTACCTTGACGGTCGAGTAATCGTTACCACATGTTGGATGCACTTGTGCATCGCTCTCGTTCTTCACTGGCCCATGCACGTGTTTTTCTTTACCCGCCCATGCATGCATATTTCCATATGCTGGCCGATGCTCAATGTCGTGTTCTCTACCAGTTAATGCTCACATGGTCGTACATTGGCCCATGCATATCTTGCGCACGTCTGTGGCGAAGGTCCCCTTTGCAGCTCAACTGTTATACATGTTGAAGCACCCGCAAGTTCCTTAATCGGCAATGCAATCTGGGCCGAGGGGTCGACGGGCCGTCGGCAGTCGTCTGCAGAAAGCACCCCCTGTCAGCGCGCGCAGGGGTGCCGAGGGCGACTGACATGGCTGAGAAACACTCGCCCGACTCACTATGTGAGCCTCCCGGGCGCGACGCTTGGAGGAAGCCTCCGAGTGCCTGCAGGGCGGTGCATGGCAATTTGTGAGCGTTTGACAGCACTGGCCACCTGTGAATGTTTTGCAATGTCGGGAATGCGTTGGTGGGTAATTTCCAAACCACGCCAAAATAATGGCCACGCGTTTAAGACGACTCCGCCGCTATCATGCAACGAGCATGCCGTTGGGCACGCACCGGGCCCCGCCCCGCGCTATCGCCATGGCCGCAAATCATTCTGGCGAGATGCGCAACCATGGGCATACGCGCGCCCGCGATTCAGCCACCCCCCTAGAGAAGAAGGGGGCAAACCATAGCGCCCGAATCCAACAAAAACGGCAATGAGCAATGAGTGCGGAGCGCGAGCCCAGCGCGCGCCGCAAAAACGAAACAAGAAAAAACAAAAAAACAACGAAAAGAGCATGACAAAACACCATTAGTGGATCCTAGCCTCGGGGAGTGCTGAAAATCGGATCGGCGGAAATCAGCAGCCCAGTCGGCAAAAGTCGCATCGGCTGAAATCGGCAGGCCGGTCGGTCCCCGTGGAGAAATCGGAGCCCAAATCTGCATCCCGAGCCGAATCGAATCGGAACAGGAAGCCATCGAAATCGGACCGAATCGAACTGGAGGAATCGAGACGAGCCCTGCGCTTCTCGTCCCTCCCAAGTGGGGGGCGGCGCCGCCCCGCCCCCCCCATCGACCCTCCGAGGAACTTCGTATGCACCATTAGGGAGGGCGGCGGTGTAACAAGTCACTGGCTCTCGCTGGTGGTTTGTACGCCGCCACCCTCCCCCGAGGCCCAGGAAGAATCCATTGGAGGGCGCATGTGTATGTATTTCTCTGGCGTCGCCTCCCCCCCCGTCGGTTTGGACGCCCGAAATGGGTACGGAAAGAATGGACACAATGCCCAACAACAAATGTTGCCCCAAACCAACAGCGGCCGCTGTTGGGCAGACGGCCTTCTGTCTCGAATGGGCGCAAGCCGCGGCGGCAAGGACAGCGAGTCCTGTTCAGAACGAACAGGAACTGCTTTTGGGCATTGTACCCATTCTTTCCGTACCATTTCGTTCGTGCAGAATTTCTCTGGCGTCGCCTCCCCCCCCCCGTCGGGCGGGCCTGGCACGAGCCCGATCGGCCTCGGGCCGGGCACGACCGTCTCCGGCAGGGGCCCCTCGTCCAGGTCCTCGCGGCGGGAACCCCGCGGGGGGCGGCGGGCGGCCCTGGCCGCAGGGGAGAGGGGGGCCGGGCCGCAGCCGCGAGGTCCCAGGCGCCCAAGCTCCCCTCGGGGGAGGTGTGCTCTGCCGCCCCCAATGGGGGGGCGCGGAAGGCTCGTGTCGGGTAGGGGGCCTGCGAACCCTACCCCTACCCCCCACGACTTCTGAGGGGGAGGGTGGGGTTCACTTCGTTCGGGAGCTCCCGGGTGAGGTGAACCCCACCCTCCCCCTCAGAAATCGTGGGGGGTAGGGGTAGGCTTCGCATGTGGCCCCCTAGCTCTGCCCCCAATGGGGGGGCGCGGAAGGCTCGTCTCGGGGATGGACAGACCCCCTGTAGGAAAACGCGGTGTAGCGGAAACGACCTCGGGCCCAAACCTGGCGGGCGCAAGCCTGGAAAAAGACGGCCGCGGCGCCCTCTCGAGAACCGAACACGGACAGTTCACGAATCGATGTGTCAGGGGGGGGGGTTCTGTCCACCCCCGAGCGTCGTTGAGGGGCGTGGAGGCGGCGGAGGACCTTCGCGAGAAAGGCATCCAGACGGCCCGACGCGCGGCATGCCAGGTCCGCGCGCGAAGTGGCGGTCGGGGGCCCAACGGCCGCGGCGCCCCTGTCGAGGACGTCGTCGCCGCGAGGGGTCCTCCAATGGAGGGGTAAAGGAACACAGCTCTTTTTCCTGTGGCCGGTTTGGAGCGGTGACGGGTGGGAGGGAGGGAGGGAGGGAGGGAAGGAGCAATGCCTCCCAGAGTCCCTGGGCCAGCGGCGGACTCCCACACCTCGATCCGCGATCCGATCCTCAAAGAGGCCTCGGAAGATGGCTCAGTCAACCCATTCAGTAAGGATGCGCGGTAAGGACGCAAAAGCCTTGGAAAGCCATGTCGACTCTCTGCGAGCGGACGGCGGCCAGCGAAAGTGGCCAAGGATGGGCCGAAGGGGAAGGGTGCAAGGGTAACCTTGGAAAGTTGATCATCCTTACTATGTGGGCTGACTGCAACGAACACTTATGCCAGAATCATCTGTCATTGCCCCCCCCGTGATCAAAATAAGCGAAGGATTAATGAGTTGCACTTCGACCGCAATCTTCCACACGAGTGACATTCTTGAATTTTGAGGACAGGGGGAATATCCACGAATTGTTTCCTTTGCCGAACCTCAGGGCCCGACCTCTACTGACTGTTTTCTCTCAATCTCGGCGTGGTCTGGGAATTTCTGTATCCTGGGAGCCGTCTTGGGGCCCTGGGAGTCCGCCAGACGTGGACGTGGACCGAAAAACGCTGCCAACGATTGGTTCGAGACCTATGGTGCCCGCGTGCATGTTTTACAAATGCATTATTAGGAGGTCTGGGGGGGCGGGTAATACTAATAGTAATGCTAATGCTAATGGGGGCAGGATGATCATGATACTGCTAATAGCAATGATGATGCTGACGATATGATGATGGTGGTAATGATGATGATGATGATGATGATGGTGATGATGATGATGATGATAATGATGATGATGATGATGACGATGATGATGATGATTATGGTGATGATGGTGATGATGATGATGATGATACGGATGATAATGACAATGACAATGATGATGCTGGTGATGAGGATGATGATGATGACAATGGTGCGGATGAGGACGCTGATGCTTATTGTGCTGATGATGATGATGCGGATGATGATGTGGATGAGGATGTTGATGGCGGTGGCGATGATGATGCTGGTGATGCGGATTATGATGATGCTGCTGATGAGAACTATGATGATGATGCTGGTGATGATGATGATGAATATGATAATGCAGATGAGGGAAAGGATGCGGATGATGATGATGATGACGATGGCGATAATGATCCTGGTGATGAGGGTAATGATGACTTTGATGCTGATACTCATGATGCTGATGATGAGGATGATGCTCATGATGCTGCTGGTGATGATGATGATGCCGATGCTGGTACAGATGCTGATGCACTGATGAAGAGGATGGATACGAGGACGATGCGGACGATGCTGTAATGATGATTGCGACGATGCTGATGTTGATGAAGATGATGATGACGACGGTACCGATGATGTTGATAATGCTGGTGGTGATGATGACGCTTGTAAGGGTAATGGTGATGAGGTTGATCGCGGTAGTAGTGTGAAGGAGGATAATGACAAGGCAGAGGAAGACAAGGAGGAGGAGGAAGCATGTGATTGAGGGCACCTTCAAACACTTGCAGCACGTCAGATGTAATAGCAATGTATACTCCCACGAAGAATTCGACATGCACATCGGGGCTAAACTATCCTCCGAGCGCGCTTTGGCAGGAACGGCGTTTTCGGAGCCTTCGTCGCAAACACTCAAGGGGGCGCGACGTGAAAGAGATCCAGGTCAGCCGCGATTCCCCGCGCAACCCCAAACGGCGGCGAGGCCGGGGGTGCAATGCGAGGGGGCAGGCCATTTCGCCGAGGCCTTCTGAACCTTCTGTGGGGGCCCGCTTTGTCTGCATGGGCCTCCCAGTGTTCGTTGAGTTCATCGGACAATTATTTGCCAGGCTCGAAGATGGATGCGAACTGCTCGGGACACTTCGGCATTGCAGCGTTTGTGCAAACAGCCTTCCCTGGGCCCGCCCTGATGAGCAATGAGCATCGTGGACGGTTGCGAACACATCTCTGAACGATGTACGACTGTTGGGCCGCGTGAGCGGCCCGCGCGTAAGCCGTCCACGATGAAGTAAAGTCGAGCGACGGACATCAACGGAACAACGCAAAGCGCCCGCGCGCAAGTTGCCCGCATTAGCGCGGCGGGCGCCACTCCGGCAGGAGAGCTGGAGGTCAGGCGCGGCAATTCGAGGTGCGACCTCCGCCACAGGGTGTCCGAACCCACGTTGCAGCCGGCGGCCATGTTGACTGCCCATCACGACCACTTGGGGCCCCAACCTTCTGGAGGCGATCCGTTCTTGACTGCCTTGTCAATCTTCGCCCGCACTTGCTCCCGCCGCTTCTCCACGCTGTTGGACGCCACGGTGTAGACAATATGCCCTACCACTTAGGGAAGAGCGACGCCACCTACTCGAGCCTCGACCGAGCTGCCCTCGAGCTTCAACGCCGCCGCGCGGAAAGCCTGTCAAGATCAGCAGACGCCTTCGAAAATGCAGAGAGTCAGATTTTCCGTTGCGTGTGCTCTCCGTTGGGGAAGCCGTCGGAATAGACGCACAGGAGCTTCTGGATGCGCGTGCCGAAGGGCCCTCCATACACCGATGTGTACCCAAGGTGGCTTGTCCAGCACAATCTTCGCCGTCAAAGACGGAGTTGGAAGGGGGCTGCAATCCTCGTAGCCCTTGAGAATGCCCGATTTCTCCTCGTGGGCACCGCACATTATCCGGACCTGTTCGGAGGGAAGCCCCTAGAACGTGGTCCAGCTGCCCTGTTCGATCACGGTGGCGAACTCGTGCATGGTGAGCGTGACCACCACCTGCTGCGGCTCTACCAGCTGGGCCGGCGGGGCAGGCGACGTCGCCTTCGCTGGTGGGGCAGCGCCTCCCCAAACCTGCGGGGTCTGCCCGGCGAGCTCGGCTAAGCGCCGAAGGCCCTTACACAAGTGACCGCGCTGCATGCCACTCGGGGGCTGGATCTCGCCCTCGTCGGGTGTGGCGTTGCAACTGTGCATCGCCGCGACGAGGTCCTCATCGAACATGTCGAAGACCTCGCCTACAAGTTGACTTCCTCCAAATACCTCCGACCTCCTGGACGAAGCTCTCGAACATCGAGTAGTCCATGCCAGGGCTTTTTACGGCGCCGGCGCAGTCGAGGCCCGGAGCCCAGGGTAATGAGGCACCCTCGGGGGCGCGACGGGGCGATCCCCGCCGCGCTTCCCCCGAGCCCTCCGTTCCAAAAGGCTCCAGATGCTCCCCCATTGCCGGATGATTGGGTCGCGGCCGCCAGCGCCGCGGCCGCCTCCATCGCGGGGGGCGCATCAGCGCCATGCCCCATCTCAATGTGCGATTCTGTGAAACCTGTGCGTCCCTTGAGCCAAAACGGGTGCAACACAATTCGGCCTCCCACCGTTTCCCCGCGCCTCTGTTAAACTCGACCTACGGTAACTAATGTACCGACCGTAGAAGAGGCATCGTATCTGTCCTTGGGCTCAACAGCAGGGTGTTGGTAGCATCTGGAAGGTATCGGGACCTTCTTGGAGTTTGGACCCTTTGAGGGCCTTATTGGAAGCTTCTCGGCGAAGTGTCAGACATGGGACTACTGCAAACACTTCAACTTGCCGATCCTGCCCGGCTCGGGCGGAAGGCCATGGAAGGATCGAGGCTAGACCAGGAAGGCATACACACCGACCTCCCGCTCAGGATGGGCCAAGCCAGAGTTGGTGTAGGTTATTGGTTGGCGTCCCCCGATTCTCCTCCCCGCCTCCTCCTGCACCTCCCTCCCTCATCCCCCCCCCTCCTCCTCTCACTGTCCGTCTCCACATTATCCTCCTCCTCCTCTTGCTCTCTCCTCCTCCTCCTCCTCCTCCTCCTCCTCCTTTCGATCCTCGCCACAATCCTCCTCGGCAGTCCTCCTCTTCCTCCTCCTCTTCCTCCTCCTCCTCCTCCTTCTCCTCCGCCTCCTCCTCAGCCTCCTACTCCCTCTCCTCCTCCTCCTCCTCCTCCTCCTCCTCCTCCTCCTCCTCCTCCTCCTCCTCCTCCTCCTCAGGCCAAAACCAGCAGAAGCAGATCGTGCGGAGTCTGTTCCCAACCCCGTCGAGCTGGCCCAGGCCCAAGTCACTTTCTGGAAGCAGTGGAAGGGAGACAGTTCCAAGGAGTACAAGGACGCGGTCGAGACTCTTAAGCAGGCGAAGCAAATCCTCTTACAAGAGAAGACACCTGATCAGCAAGCCCAGAGCCTCACGGACCAGCTCAACCAACAGAAGCGTCGTCTGCAGCAGACAAAGAACAACGTCAACCAGCTCTCGCAGCAGTTGGCCGCCGTCGCCGAGAAG